GTAAACAATATTGAAGAAATGTTCCAATTCTAAATTGGATCAGTGAGATAAATCAAACAGCTATGAATTAAACTTACTTTTAAATTTCTATCCTTTGGTTTTTACCTTCACCCATATCTTTACAAGATATAAATATATGGTACTGCATTTCTCTCATCTTCATTCTCTCTTCCTAAGTCAAAGGAACATAAACCAAAAAACCCAACTCAGAGCCATTGAGTCGATTCAACTCATAGCAACCCCTCCTCGGGTTTCTGAGGTGGAATTTCTACAGAAGTAGACTGCCCTTCTTAGGAGTGGAACTGCCAGCCTTCTGGTTAGCAGTCAATGCCTTAGGCACTACGCCACCAGAGCTCCCAAAGGAACACAGAGATTTAAATATAAAATTCACTACCATCATGTCACTTCTGACTCATAGCAGCCCAAAAGGACAAAGTAGAACTGCCCTATAGGGTTTCCAAGGCTGTAAATCTTTATGGAAGCAGATGCCACATCTTTCTCGCAGAGTGGTTGGTGGGTTCGAACCATCGACCTTCTGGTTAGCAGCCAAGCATTTTCACCACTGTGTCACCAGAGCTCCTAGATTTAAAGATACTAGGGGGTCAAAATTGCAAAAATCAAACTAAACTCAAAATACGAAGTCTTTGACAACTATTAAACTCAAATGTATAGATACATTATAACCTGCATGGAAGGACTGCACTTCATCTGCTCAGAAGGGCTGAGCTATACTGCCAAATGGACAAAAACAGGCATGTTTCCTCTATCCTCAGACATTCACAGAAATCCTAACAGTAGCTAAATTAAGAAAGGACGTTGGAGTGAAGCTAATTTTTTTTAAAGTATAAAAGTACTCCCTCTTTGCCCCTGTTAAATATTACTTTATCTTTGGAAGGAAGAGGTGAAAAGAATTTTTCTTGCTAGAAAATTGTTTTGTTTTAAATGAACATCTAGTTTGTCAACATTTTTCCACAAAGAAAATTGTTGTTGTTGTTATGTGCCATCGAGTCAGACCCGACTCATAGTGACCCCTCCCCTTGGGTTTCTGAGGCAGTATCACTACGGAAGTAGATTGCCCCATCTTCCTTCCGAGGAGTGGCTGGTGGGAAAATTAGTATACATTAATTAACTTTTGTCATAAGACACTGAAAATGACCATCAATGATGGTAATATTTGGCCCAGTTGTTAGTTTTCCTTGCTACAGCAATATATTAACATTATTAAAGAAACCTATGATCGATAATTCCCTTGAGAGCTATTTCTGTTCTATCTGTGGGTGGGTCTAGTACAGCCTGTCACTATTTCCTCCTCCACATCCTGGCACTACCTAATTAACTTTAAAAGGTTCAGTCAACCAAAGCTAAAAAGCCCTATACTCAATGGCACAAGGGCTAAAAAGCAGAACTTTAATTTATTATTAATTTTTATAGTAAAAACATCCACAACTCTGATTCTATCTTTCAGGGCCACCACTAGTCCACATGGTTTGTTGTGCCAACTAAAAAAAAAAAAAAATGTCTTTTATAAGCTGATGCAGTTTTACGTGAGTAAGGCTCGAAGCAGCAAGAAATAGATTTTAGCTCCCACTGAGCCCTTGTTCAGGCACCTTTGTATGGTGTAACAAACAGCTCAACTGTCCATGCCATTCCCTACCTTCTTACCAATAAGATAAGGAAGGCATCACAAATATTGATTTACTTCCTTTACCTGTTTTTATCTTGGATGCATGTCATTTGGAGCACACAACTTGAGGTGGTGCCACATGACTAATTTAATATATAATATATTTAGCCCAATGGTTCTTAACTCAAGAACTCAGTCACCTTGGGGGAGTTTTAAAAATACTGATTACCAGGCCTTACCCAAGTCTATACTCTTTACAGCAGAATATATAACAGTGGGGCCAAACCATGAGTATTTTAAATCCAAAAACAAGCAAGAGTAACAAAACACATTCAGATGATCCTGATGCACAGTGAGGGTTGAGAACCACTGAGCCTATATTCAACCTATTGCACCATCACAGCCAAACACAGTCTCTAAGTTCTTAATTGTGTTTTGGGGTTTGTTTTACTTTGTTTTGACAGGCTCTTTAGGGGAAAGGACTCATCTTTCAAATACTTTCAGTTCTTCCTTAGCATTGTTGTTGTTGTTATGTGCCGTGGAGTCAGACCCCTCCCTGGGTTTCCGAGAGCCATGATCACTATGGAAGCAGATTGCCCAACCTTCCTTCTGAGGAGTAGCTGGTGGGTTTGAACCACCAGCCTTTTGGTTAGCAGTCAAATGCCTTAGAGTCGGATCCGACTCATAGAGACCCCTTCTTGGATTTCCGAGCCCGGAAACCCAATGCCTCAGAGCTCCCAACCCCAAAGGATACAGGTGAAAATATAAAAAGTGGATAGTCCTAGGTGAGATTATGGATGATATTAATATCCTTCTCTTTGCTATCTATATTTTCTTACGTGCTATCATGAAGATGTATTACTTCTATTCTGAATCAAATTAAAAAAAAAAAAAACACCTTAATATTTGATAGAATTCCCCAGAATCTCCACAAGAGACAAAGAGCACTATCTCACTTTATGGAATAAGTATATCCCTGAAAAGTGCACAAATCATATATTCTTGTTTAAAAAGTCACATGTCTAATGATATTCTGCTTGAACTTCTATTGGCATTTGTTCCTAATCAGCTTTAAATTTCCCTCTACTGTTCCAATATTCCCCATTTATTTCTGATCCCCAGTTGATTAATGATCAATAAGCCAGTAGTTATATTTCCCAAGTTATAACCTACTTACAGACACACAAATATTTTAACAAATATTTATTAGGTAGGTGTTCCTTAAAATCCACACTAAAGACAGTCTTCACTGGAAAAGAGTTTATAATCTAGTAAGAGACAAATGGATAGAATACACATTCCTGGCTCAGATAATAATAAGTACTATAGAAATACAGTGTAAAGAAAACTTACTTTGTGTGGGGATCAGGAAAGGCATAAATTAGATCATCTGAAATGGAGCTTACAATATTAACAGGTGAATATGGGTAAAGTGGTAAACAACATGAAAGGAAAACAGGCACTCTGGGCAACTTAAAGTGTGTTGGACAAATACTGAAACTGTATTTGTCTCTACTTACCAGGTTAACCCCCATCTCCTCCAAGCCAATTCTCACCATTGCTTTTGATCCCTAGAGTTCTCAAGGTTTCCTGAACTTGTAGTCTATTACAATACCAAACAGCTGATGATGCCTGAATTTTTTTCAGGCCATCCAAATCAAGGTATATATATATATATTTTTAATTGTAAAAAGCTATAAAAATGTTATCATTACTTTCTAATTCTTTCACTAGTGATTACAAAACTTGTAAATCTGATCTCGCCACACCCTATTTAAAGATGTCTCATTTCCCTTAGAATAAAGGCTTAAATCCTTTAAATGGTCTATATATCTACCTTTCAAGGTCTGGTTCCTGCTTATCTCTCGTTTTTTGGAGTGATAAACTCTCTACCTCTGGGCTTCCATATACGCTGTATCTTCTGGAAACCTTGTCCTCCACTCCTAGTTTGGCTTAGTTAGATTCTGTTGTTGTTGGGTGCTGTCGAGTCAATTCCGACTCATAGGACCGAGTAGAAGTGCCCCATAAGGTTTCCAAGGCTGCAAATCTTTATGGAAACTGACTGACACATCGCTCTCCTGCGGAGCGGCGGGTAAATTTAAACCGCCCGCCCGCCTTTTAGTTAGCAGCCGGAAGCTTAACCACTGTGCCTTCTACTCACCCCAAATCTGTTTTTACTCAGTTTATATGCACGCACCGTTGGTTTAATTATTTGACTAGAAAATACTAAACTCCATGAGATTGACGCTCATGCCATCCTCATACTTGGGAATACGAGGGCCTCAGCTGATATTTGTTGAAACAATGAATAAATGTGTCAGGTTGTCTCCTGCAAATACACTGCAACTTCCCGGGGGGTGGGTGTCACTTTGGTGTGAAAAAGATCATTTCATTAACACGGGCCTAGTAACAAACTCTCAGCAAACAACTACGAACTGCTTAGAAGGGACACAACTTCTTAATATCACTTCCCAAAGACCTCGCGCTGGATTACTCTGTGGATGGCTAGAGAAACCGACCGGCACAGCGCAGATGAACTACCTCGTCAAGAGAATTCAGAACCTCAACGAAAGCTTTGTAAGTAAGGAGTCCTCAAATCTGCAGTCAGCTTCGCTGGTCCAGCTGTGTTTTGGGGGCATGCTAAGCAAAGGCTTTGGGCAAAGAATGCAGACCCCAAGAGCAGCACTTTCCCCCTCTGGGCAGTACCAAATCCTGCAACTGGGTAGTCTCGACTTGGCACCCACCTCCCGAAGCAGCTTCAGTTCCCCGTGCTGGATCTCATACAGTTGAATGACGCCGGTCCCCCGTGCGAAGTTGCCCATGGTCACAAATTTGGCGCTGCATGGCACCCACTTACAGTCAAATACCGTATAGTTGAGGTTCTTCTGGATATGAGCGATGATCTGAGGCTTCTCGAAGGACGACATGGCCCAACAGATTACACGCTCGGCAACTCCCACCCGCGGACCCTGACCAAACAGGAACCTGGAAACCAGACTCCAAACATTAAAGACAGTTTGTCTCTCCCGCTTGCCGTACTCGGTGCCCGAAAGTTGAATTTAGTTATCTAAGATAATGCCAGATACGCTACTGGGATCATAAAAATCTTTCTTTGGACAGCACAAACATGCTTATCAGCTTTATGCCTGACATTTTCCTATACACAGCTTTGAGGTTACAAAATGCTTTATCTGTGAGTTGCGCCACCAGAGGGAGACCATAAAAAATCAGGCATATTATAGGAGAGCCCCACCACGTTAAAAATTAAAAAAAAAAAAATCCTGCTTCAGGTCCCCTAAGTGAGGCTTCTTTGGAAAGGGGGCGGAGCCTTGAAACTGGTTGGCAATCGCGACTTCTATTGGGAGTTCGCCTGCGAAGTGCCACAGCGCACGTGTTGGACTAGCCAGCTAGGCTGGAGATTTCTGGGGATGGAGGGCGAGATGGAAGCACAAAGTGCTGGCGCGGAGGACGGTTTCACCCAGATAACCCGCAAAGGTGGCCGGCGGGCGAAGAAGCGGCAGGCTGAGCAGCTGGCGGCGGCAGGGGAGAGCGGAGACGCGGGACACATGGACACGGAGGAGGCCCGGCCCGCGAAGAGGCCCCTCTTCCCGCCCCTTTCCGGGGATGGGCTCCTGGTACTGGTCGGGACCCGGTACAAGAATGGGGCAGGGGCCAGAAACGGGTCAAACTGGTGGCTTCTGGGTGATGTTGAAGCTGTGGGTGTTCTTCTGGAGGAAGGTTCTTGGTAGAGAAGTGATTCTCAGGTTTAACTCGTGCAGTTTAAAGGAAGGTTTTGGTGGATCACTTTACATTTTGCAATTTTATCTTTTGTGTTGTAGGGTGGAAAAGAAGAAACAAGGAAAATTCCAGTCCCAGCTAACAGATACACACCATTGAAAGAGAACTGGATGAAGATATTTACTCCTGTTGTAGAACATTTGGGACTTCAGATACGCTTTAACTTGAAATCCAGAAATGTAGAAATCAGGGTAAGGAGAGTGTCACTTGGTTCCAAATAGACTAGGGTTTCTTTTTCCCACAGTAATCGAGGCGTGAATAGAATTCGTATAATGGGACTTATGAAATAGTTTTTTTACAGTTTTCTAATATATGCTGAGTCTGAGTTTTTAAATGCCTTCAAAATCTTCATTCAACACAAATATTAACTGAATTCCTAAGTTAGGTCTGAAGTCCTACCAAGACACTGGTGGTTTCTGTGCATATCTTTTATAATGTACTGTGTTGAACTGGGAAAGGATGTAAGAAAGGGGTTGCCCTAAGCAGAAATATGTGAGTGATGTGGCATAGGCATATGCAAGTTACTGGTTGCAGCCATACAGGCACTATATATTTTAATAGTATTCTCTTGGGGAAAAAAGTATATAATATGTATGTACATTGTTTTGAGTGCTAATATAAGATCCACACTACCCACTGCCATCAAGTTAATACCGACTCATAGTGACCCTATAGGACAGAATAGAACTGTCTCCATGACTGTAAATCTTTATGGAGGCAGACTGCCTAATCTTTCTTCCCTCAAGCAACTAGTGGGTTTGAACTGCAGACCTTAGGGTTAGCAGCCCAGTGCTTTAACCACAGCAACACCAGAACTCCTTACAGTAAATATGTTATATGCTGTTGAGTCAGACCCGACTCATAGCGACCCCTCCTTGAGTTTCCTAATCACTATGGAAATAGATTGCCCAGCCTTCCTTCCAGGGAGTAGCTGGTGGGTTTGAACCGCCAGCCTTCTGGTTAGCAGTCAAGTGCCTTAAGCACTATGCTACTAGAGTTCCCTACAGTAAATACAGATAAATGAAAAAAAAAAATATGTGCTGTTGAATCGATTCCCACCTGGAGCAACCCAGTATGACAGAATAGAACTGCTCCATAGAGTTTCTTAGGCAGTAATGTTTATGAACACAGATTGCCAGGTATTTTCTCCTGCAGAGCTGCTGATGGGCTCAAACTGCAAACCAGGGTTCCTTTGATCCAGATGATAGACATGTATAATTAACTTTGAACTTTTTTTCGTGCTAATTTTGTATTATAATTGATGACTAAAATTAATTATAATATCCTTCTTTTTGAGAATTCTTAGACCATCACTAAAACATCTTGATGGACTATGATAAGGGAACAAAGCTGAGAGGCCTTGCTCTAAATCGTTGGTAAAGTTCATAATACTGAACTTGATAGTAGAATCTTTGTTTCTGTTGCCATTCCCATTCAGATGTGGGTGATTTTTCATGCCAGGATTTTTTAGTGCTTAATGCATTTGACTGCTAACCAGAAGGCTGGAGGTTCAAACCCACCAGCCACTCCTTGGAGGGAAGACTGGGCAGTCTACTTCCGTAGAGATACCACCTCGGAAACCCAAGGAGGGGTCGCTATATGTCAAAATTGACCCAATGGCAATGAGTTTGGTTTTTGATTTTGGTATAGTTTTTCTTGTTTTGTTGCTTTAAATCTCTCCTTCCTCAAATATGTCCTCTATGCAGGTGCCAGATTAACTTTCTCTAACCATATTGCTTTTATTATGATATCTTGGCCTCTTCCATGTCTCTAAATGATAAAAGTTACGCTTAAAGCTTAAACCTGAACCTGCCTTTCAAGTAATGGACTCTGGTCCCAGGTTGGTTTATTATCACCTGTTTGAACATTTCTATTCCTATACTCCTAGGTAACTTTCCCTCTGAAGAAGGTACTCTCCTTCCTACTCTCTTCCTTCTCCTGTCTGGCTCAATGTTTTTTATTTTAATTGGTTAATTTGTCAATCATTTATTTAAAACCTAACTTCTATTGTGCTTAGTGTTTTATGTATTGCAGGAGCATTGATTTAGATCCCATTAACATTTGTTAATGGTGGTTCACTGGTAGAATTCTCTCCTTCCGTGGGGAAGCTTGGGTTTGATTCCTAGCCGGTGCACCTCAAGTTAGAATCTGTCGGTCAGTGGAGGCGTGTGTGTTGCTATGGTGCTTAAAAGGTTTCAGGAGAGCTTCCAGACCACACAGACCAGGAAGAAAGGCCTGGCATTCAGCTTCTGAAAATTAGCCAATGAAAACTCTGTGGATCACAATGATCCTGTGCTGTTGTAAGTAGAATCACCATGATTCAGAGGCCAGCTGTTTGGCAGCTAACAACAGCATTGTTGACACTTGTATGCCAGAGCCATTGTGGTACTTTGACATATACTACATTGTTTAGTCTTTAAGACAGCCCAATGAAATAGATGAAATCCCTCTATTTTATGATGAGAGGAAACTGAAGGTCAAAGAACTTAAGTATCTTGGCCAAAGTCATCAAGCTGATAATTGAATCTTGACGCTTTTAGATATTCCTCAGGATCTTCCACTCTAACCTCCTTATTTACAAATGAGAAAACGTAAGACCAGATGATAGAGAGTATCCATGGGAGAAATATGCGGCCGTTTGCTTCCATAGAATTACAGGCTTGGAAACCCTATGGAGCACTTCTCGTCTACCCCAGAGGGTTGTTTTGAGTCAGAATCAACTCTATGGCAGTGGGTTTTTGGTTTATTTTATTTCTATGTTTAACTTCTTGAGCTATTTTCCATAGCAGCTGCTAATATCTTACGTTCTCATCAGCAATAGAAGAGGATTCCAAGTTCTCCACATATTTGCCTATTTTTCTAATAATAGACATCCTAGTAGGTGTCAGTTTCTTGTACTGTAATAGCTCGTGTGTTGCTGTGATGTTGGAAGCTATGCCAGCAGTATTTATAATACTAATAGGTTAGTCCTCGGAAGGAAGGTTGGGCAATCCTACTTCCGTAGTGACACTGCCTCGAAAACCCAAGGAGGGGTCGCTATGAGTCAGGGCTGACTCAACAGCAAGTAACAACAACAATAACACATGGTAGATAGGTTTCAGTGAAGCTTCCAGATTAAGACAGACTAGGAAAAAGGACCTGACAGCCTACTTCTGAAAAAATTGACCAGTGAAAACCTTATGAGTAACAACAGAACATTGTCTGATAATAGTGCCAGAAGATGAGAGCCTCAGGTTGGGAAGCACTCAAAATACGACTGGGGAAGAGCTACCTCTTGAAAGTAGAGTCAACCTTAACAATGTGGATGGAGTAAAGCTTTCAGGACCTTTATTTGCTAAAATGAGAAAAAATAGCTGGAAATATCCAGAAAATGGAATGTGTGAAGTATGTATCAAAGAAAACTAGAAGTTGTCAAAAATGAAATGGAACACTTAAAGATGGCATTAGTGCAGAAATGGACTGGTATTGTCCATTTTGAATTGGACACTCATATGGTCTACTATGCCAGCATAGCATATTCAAGAGGAAAGTGTTGCATCATCCTTAAAAAGAACATCTCAAGGTCTATCCTGAAGTTCAGTGCTGTCAGTGATATGGTAATTCTATAAGGAAGACCAGTTAATAATAATCAAATTTATGCATGAACCACTAAAGCCAAAGATGAAGAAATTGAATATTTTCACCACCTTTTGCAGTCTGAAATTGATCAGATGAGCAATCAAGATGCATTGATGATTACTAGTAATTTGAATGTATAAATTGGAAAATAAGGTTTTGGTGATATAAACGATAACAGAAATCCTGTGGTAGAATTTTGTGAGACCAATGACTTATTCATTGCAACTACCTTTTCCAACAACATAAAGGACAGCTAGACACATGGACCTCACTGGTTGGAATACAAAGGAATCAGATTGACTACATTTGTGGAAAGAGATGATGGAGAAGTTTGGTATCATCAGTCAGAACTAAGCCAGGGACAGACTGCAGAGCAGACCATCAACTGCTCATATACAAGTTCAAATTGAAGCTGAAGGAAATTAAAAGAAGTTCACATGAACCAAAGTATGACCTTGAGTATATCCCACCTAATTTAGAGACTATTTTAAGAACAAATTTGATGTGTTGAACACTAATGACCAAAGACTAGATGACTTATGGGATGACATCACAAGCATCATCCATGAAGAAAGTAAAAGGTCATTGAAAAAACTGAAAGAAAGAAAAGACCAAGGTGCATGCCAGAAGAGAAGTTGCTCTTGAACATAGAGTTGTTGTTGTTGTTGTTGTTGTTGTTTGCCGTCGAGTCGGCCCCGACTCATAGCGACCCCTCCTTGGGTTTCCGAGGCAGTATCACTACGGAAGTAGGATTGCCCAACCTTCCTTCCGAGGAGTGGCTGGTGGGTTTGAACCGCCAGCCTTCTAGTTAGCAGTCAAGTGCTTTAGCCACTATGCTACTAAAGCAAATGGAGAAAAGCTTGACAGAAGATTTTAAGGTGGCTCGAGAAGAACAAAGTATTATAATGAAACATGTAAAGACATGGAGTTAGAATGAAAAGTGAAGAACGCACTCAACATTTCTTAAACTGAAAGGCCTGAAGACAAAATGCAAGCCTCAAGTTGAAATGCTGAAGGATACTATTGGTAAAATATTGAACTAAGCAAGAAGTCTTAAAAGAAGATGGAAAGCACAGCCACAAACCTTGAGGGAATGAGTTGCTGGGCCCACAGGCTCAGGACCATGGTCGTGGAGCACATTGAGCTTAATTGGCCTAACATACTACACAAAAACATTGTTCTACATCCTACTTTGGAAAGTAGTTATTGAGGTGTTAAAAAAGCTTGTAAGCAGCCATCTAAGGTGCAACAATTGGTCTCTCCTCGTCTAGAGCAAATAAGAGTGAAGAAAATAAAAGATTTATGGAAATAATTAGTCTGAGGGACTAGTGGACTATGACAATCCCAGTCTAGAGACCTTGAGACCAGAAGAACTAGAGGACCCCTGGCTGCTAGTGCCAGCCACTTGGAAAGGGATCAAAATTGGAGATCCTGGATTGAGTGGGAGAAAAATGTTGACCAAAACTCAAAATTATAAAGACCAGGATTACTGGTCAGAGAGAGGCTGGTTAAACCCCTGAGACTATGGCCCCTAGTTACTTTTCTGGCCTGGAATTGAACTCACTCCAATAGC